AGGATCACATGCACTTAATATTCACTTACAGTATAGAAGCAGTTTTGTAACAAATAGTTTTTGACAAACCTAGAGAACTGTTTGTTAGACATCTTCTCAATATTGGACCGCTTATGATATCTAACAAAGTTATTGTAAAGCGACACATTAATCTTATTGTGTTGTGTCATGGCGATCCTAGATTGCGGTAATGATATATCATTAGCGTATCTTGTATTATAGCTGTGTCTCTGATCTTATCGAAAAGTACTCACTTTTGCGTGAACATGTAAAAGGGTCTCATGTATGAGCAGGCATGCTAACGGCAGTATGCGCATCTCTTTGAACAAACCGCGGCACTTATGATCGTAGGAGACGCCAGCTACAATCCGTATAGCAGCCTTTTGCATTGTAAATGCTTTTTGGGCATTGACAGAATTACCCCTGCGGATGATACCATACGACAGATGACTATGAATGAGGCTAAAGTATACAGTTCTCATGGTTTGTCTGTGCAAACACTGAGCCAGTTGCTGCATGATATAAACATCTGTCTGGAAATCTTGGTACACACCTGGTCCACATGCTCCGGCCAGGTCAAGCGGCTATCCACAACGATCCCTAATAACTTTACGGATGATGAAGTCTCATTCCATTTGTCTGATGTTATTCTTAGCTTGCTGGTTTTCGCTTCATTAAGTTTGAGCTTGTTTGCGGAGAACCACCGCTTAACCTGGTCGAGACTGTGGGCCTGGTCAAGTTGGGTAGTCTTGGAGAGCAGAGTAGTGTCGTCTGCAAAAATGTAGCATTTGCTATTGTTGACATTTTGTGGGAGGTCATTGATGTAGTTAAAAAATAATAGAGGGCCCAAAACAGAGCCCAGGGGTACCCCGTTCGTAATCGGTAGAACCTGGGATTCTACTCCATCAAGGCTAACCATCTGTCTCCTATTAGCTAAGTATGATCTCATAAGCTGTGATGACTTGCCACGGATCCCATAGTACTCCAATTTGTCAAGCAGTATAACTGCGTCTACACAGTCAAAAGCCTTGGTTAAGTCACACATAGTTGCTAGAGCGGTGGTTCTCTTGTCAATGCACTCTAATGCATCCTCAAGAAAACTAAGCATGGCTTTAATGGTTGAACAGTGCTTTCGAAAACCAAATTGGGAAGCTGAAAGGAGGGAGTGCTTTTCAAAGTACTTTATTAATTTTTCTTTGATTACAATTTCGAATAATTTACTTATTAATGGAATTATTGTGATTGGCCTATAGTTATCGAGATCATCTTCATTCCCTTTCTTATGAATGGGAATGACCTTTGACAATTTAAAAGCATCAGGCCATACGCCTTCATTAACACACTTATTAAATAGTATTGTTAAAGGTTCAATGAAATCCTCACTGGCTATTTTCAACATAGCACTGTTCATACAATAGAAGTCGAGTGAGGGTGAGTTTTTTAGTTGAGCTATAGCACATCTCACATCTGTTTGGAGTATCGCAGACATGAAGAACGAATGCGGTGTCTTGGGAGTACGGTTGAGGAAATACAAGTAATTAATAGTAGGCTTTTCAATGCCCTCAAGAATTTTACAAGAAATAGTACTGAAAAAACTATTGAATTCATCACTTGAGACGTTTGTGTGTTTCTGTTTCCTGATGCCTTTCTCGCTATCGACTATCTTCCAGATTGCTTTAGTTTTATTTTCCGCCTGGTGTATCATTTCAGAGTAAAAGTTCCTTTTTTCCAATTTCAATTTTTGACGGTATATTCTACGTATATCCTTATACCTCTCCCAATCACGCTCATCCCCGCTACGCGAAAACTGGCTTTTTGCGTTCACCATATCTTTCCTTAGCTGCTTCAGTGTCTGCGTATACCACTTAACCTTGTGAGCTGACTTATCCACAGCTTTTAACGGAAAACAATTATCGATGCAGTTTGATATTAAACGGTAGATACTATTTGCCATGTTATCTGCAGAGTTAGAATCTACATTCATGTCGGACGCCATACTATGGATTCTGTTGGCAAATGAAACCATTCTTTTTTTGTAATAATGCGTCTTTTGGGCGGTTTGATTGAATGAATCTCATCTTGTAATATAAAAAATCACAAAAAATTCCTAAGTGGTCGGAAATGTTCAAATCTATTGTCCCTGTCTCAATATTATCATTGTTCAAGTTGGTCAATATATTATCCAAACAAGACGCCGAAGTAGGTGTAACTCTGGTATTTTCATAAATACATTGACGTAAGCCAAATGAATTTGAAATATTACATAGGTGTGTCACTGTTTGAACATTACTGCTGAAATCTAAATTAAAGTCGCCACGTATCAATAAGTTCTTATGTCTAGAATAAATACTATTCAGTAAACTATTGAAGGCATCAATAAATAATGAAGGATTTCCTAAATAAGGAGATCTATAAACAGTTATAATAGCAATATTGCCAATTGTTGCCCCACAAAATTCAGCATGGAATGGAACACAAACATTCTTTAAATCCAAGGGTTTAATTTGCTAATTCATTCGTGCAAATATAGCAACACACCATGTAATCTTGGAGGGCGACAGTAAAAGGATATAAGAGAATATTGGTTTAGGTTTACCATTGCCAAATGATCATCACTAAGCCAATGTTCAGAAATGCATAATACATCTACAGGATTATCATTTAACCACAAATTGAGATCATCTTGCTTGGCAAGCCCTGTACATTGATGTGAAGGGTTCGTAGGCATTTGGCGTTGTTGACCCGCTGACGTGTTTGATCTCCTTCTAGAGCGAAAAAATCGGTTGATTATTACCCCATCCGGCCATATGTCGCTCTTTAGTATATTGTCCGCTTCGGTAGCTAATAATGTCACCTTGAATGATTTGTAACTTTCTGGATACCTGGCATTAAGCTCCTCGACCTGTACTGATGCAGCAAAGCCCTTCAGGTAATTGGCTAAAGCCTGCATTTCAGTCTTTGGATCCAATTTTGTGACGTGGTACTGGTACTGACGGTTTTGTTGAGCTGAATTTGCTGCTTTCAGGGGGCATGCACTATCACTGGTCAATTTGCCGACTAGTAAGTTTCCAGAACGCCTCCTCCTCTCAGATTTACTTTGAGAGTTAAGTGTACTTTGCGTATTAGTACTCGCCTGTCGCACTTCATTTGACAAATTGCTGTTCCCAATCACTTGGGTGTCACTCAACATTTTAGGTGTGTGGTCTCCTTTATTTTCATCTTTGTGTTTAGATCGCTGGCGCTCGAACAGCTAGTTATTTTTTGCTACCGGCGCTGAACTGGAGGAATGTGCGTAACTACTCGTAGTATGCGATTTAACACTGCATCGGTGGCGCTGGTTTTTTAACACCAGTGGTGGCGGGGGTATTGTATACCCCATCTAAGGAATGTGGATCTTTGAGGTATAAACAGTATAATTATTATCAATGTATACAAGAACTGTTAATAATATAATATAATAATACATCAAGTCACCTAAATAAGTAACTGTGTAACTGGAGAACTGAACAGAATGAAGCAAAATATAGAAAAATAATAATTAAACTGAAAAAATAAAACCACTCATAGTCCCTATTTCACTCATCTTCATGGTCGCTGCTTCCGTCACTGGCGTTGTCATAACAGGCGGTACATATATTATGTTGGTGATCCTTGCACACAAAATTCCGGCATTCACTGCATCTAGCTGTTGTTTTTTTATCATTTTTCCTGGGACATATGTGACAGCGGCCTGTTTCTTTCTCGAGCTCCTCCGTCTTCATTAGGAGTTTCTTGTATTCTTAGCAAGTTGTGTGCTTTTTGTCGAATCACCCTCGGTACATTTTGGCTGTAAATTCTACGCATTATGCAGGGTCTGACCAGTTCTGATGCAAGACTTTTCAAAAACTGACGCCTCAGTACATTTACAAGATTCCCATTTGTTACATATAAATTTAATGCATTTATAGCCGCTATATTCATTACATCGAAAAAAATGGCCAAAGGCCACCTTCGAGTAGTTCTTGCCACATTGTACATAACACACATTTTATCCACAACATCGACGCCATACTTCGTGTGATTATAATCGACAATCATGGCTGGCTTATTTGTCTCTCTGTCAATTTCATCTGAATGATGCATCGTTGAAAGCATAAGAACGTTTTTTTTTTTTTGGTACAAAAGATACTAGCGTGCATTTTTCATGGAAAGCAAACATCGAACTTTCTAATGGCTTGCCTTTTGTGGATACAAAGCACGGTGGAATTTCCCTTTTGTTAGCTTTGATAGTTCCAAGCACAGTCAGCTTATGGTCTGTAAGAAGCACCACTGCCAAAGGAAAACTGGTAAACCATCGGTCCATCGTGATATTCCTATTGGTGTTTCTTATTGGTTGAACAAGCCTTTTGACGACGTCGCTAGGCGAATTCGATATCTTATATGGACCATCTGGCTGCTTACCACAGTAAATTTCGAGATTGATAGTCATCATCGTTTTTGGATCCGCAAGCAGAAAAAGTTTGATGCCGTATTTGGCTGGTTTCGAGGGCAAATACTGCCTAAATGGGCATTTGCCCCTAAATGCGATGAGCTGTTCGTCGATAGTGACATAGCTGCTTGGCATATATGATGAACAACAATTATTCACAAATAATTCAAACAGCTCTCGTATAGCGGCTAGTTTGTCCAACTCTCGCCTCCCAGGTCTGTCACGTATGTCATCAAACCGAATACAACGGTATAAAAATTTGAATCGAGTGCAACTCATTGTGCAGTAAACAAGGTCTACTCCAGTGCCATCAGTATTCCAGATATCCTCAGTATTTAGTCTACCTTCTTTTAGAACCCCTGTTATGTATAAAATTCCCAAAAATGCTCTAATTTCGCATTCGTCTGTAGGCTTAGCATTTCTTTCACGTGCATACTTTTCTTTGATTGTCTCAATTTTGATATTAGTACAGTTCGTAATCATAGTAATCATCTGATTGTTGATATAAACATCGAAACATTCCAAAACTGTTTTAGCGTTCTTGCATGTCCAAGAGGACCAGGGACTTTGACACTATATTGTGCACCCTAGTGCGTGTGGCAGGCGCTATTTTACTCCAAATGGTTTGGCCATCTTTACCTGTGTAGTAGGGTTCAGAGCGTATTCCTTCATCCAGTACTTCACCTTGTACCTCGCTCATATCCGTTTCTGATTCGATGAGCCCCTGTTCCTCTTGAACATCATCCGGTTCTTGATCTATGTCTTCATCTTCTGAGTCCGATTTTGACCACTCATCAGCGCCTTCCTCTTGTTCCAACTCCTCCAACCATTTCATCCACCTGAGCTGGATCGGTACTAGCTTTTTCAGGGCGTGCCATTATGTAAAACTATAAATAAGTTACAATTATAGTATTTATGTTACCTAAAAACCAACTGTAAAAACCTACAAAAGAAATAAGCGAAAAAACACGAGTGTCACGGGAGTGGTGGCGTGGGGTATTGAGTAGCCCCACTGCGAATGTCTAGGCCAACAAAAATCTAACCGTCGCACACAAACTAGCGAGCTCTACACTAATACGTTGGGCACTCTACTGCTGAAGATTACCTGGATGCGCGTAGCTCTAGTCATCCCCACTCCGGACGTATAGCCGCTGAAATTTGAAGTGGGGTACTCAATACCCCGCGCCACCGATGCAGTGTTAAATTCAGTAGTTTTCCCCTGCTTTAGGTAGCGTATCTGCTCTTGCAGCGATTCAACCAGTAATGACTGGTACCGTATCGTTTCGTCCTTCTGTTTAATTAGTTCTTCAAGATAGCATACCTTAGTTTTTTCTCCTGATTTAATTTAATTTAATAAATAATATAATAATCATAATTATAATAATAATAATAATAATAATTATAATAATAATAACATTAATATAATAATAAAAATAATAATAATTATAATACTAATAATAATAATAATAATAGTAATAATGTCTGGCCGGTTAGGACACTGTTGCCAGCAGTGTCAAACCCGCTACCGTAGCAACAACAAGGATAGACGGTACAGCCAGCGATCCTCCAGTGTGTGCCAGGGGTTTTTGTGTCTCTTCCTCCTGGTGCAGGAAAACATATCATGTGCAGAATGTGTACATATCGGCTCCTAGATGGAGTCGTATAAAAAGAGCCACACCCATAATTTCTTTATGGAGATGAATTTTGAATATAGCCTCGGAAAAAGGTCGCTGCCTGAGGGTGATCGTCAGGGCATATCTGGAGCCGGCGCTGGATATGACAGCATGCGGGACGTCGGTGGCAGGGTGCTGAGGAGGCGGGCCCCTGTCGTCCAAGAAGCAACAGCCCCCCAACAAAGTGGTAGCCAAACAACAACTAGTGCCACCGCTGCCGAAAGTGCTGCACAGGAATCTCAGCCAGTGCTCACTCAAGCAGGTCTCCCTAGAAGACGTATAAAGTGGACGGTGTCCATGAATGAGTCAATCATGCGAATCTTCTACAAAGTTACCAACCTAGGTAGAGAAACAATCGGCTACAGACCACGACTTCATACCGCTTTCTGTAGTGAATATCCGGAGATCAAAGTATCTCAGCAGAGAGTGGCAGACCAATATCGAGTGATCAAAAAATAATCTTATCCCACAACCACGGCTGAATGCCATCAAACAGGAAGTGCAGCTTGATCTTATGCAACAAGAAGGGAGTAATAACGAAATACGCGATAATGGTCAATCTGAGCAAGAACAGATAGAAAGTGAACAGCCTGGAGTTGACGACAGTAATGATCAAGACACAGAAATATTTGGTATATTAATAACTGAAATGGGTAGAGCATATGCCGAATTTGATGGAACGAACCCGCTAGAGAGACCACCATTACCAAAGTTGAAGTCATCTAGAAAGCTTGCTGTGGTATTGTGTCAGTTAAATAAACAGATCCTGCCAGAGTATCTAGCACACTCCAACTGTATAGAACAACTTCACACACTGATATACTGTGCAGCTGTTGCAACAGTAAGAACACTTGGTGTCAAAATGCCAACTCAAAAGATTACTGAAAATTCAGTAAAACCAATAACACCAAAATGGGAAAAACGTCTGGAAAGAAGAACGGCAGAAATTCGCAGAGATATTGGACGTCTTACCCAATTCACACGAGGAATAACAACTCGAAAAGTCCGAAAGCAAGCTATGGAAATAATGCAACGACTCCACCATCATTCTCACCAAGACGCAACTAACATCAACGAGTGGCAATGCCTTGATACCTTGAAGCAAAAACTGTCCGTATATACTCAGCGATTGAAAAGGTATAAAGCGTCCAGTCACAGAAAGCACGACAATGCGCTCTTTCAACGATCCGAAAAGGCATTCTACAGGAAACTGTCATCCGAACCCCAGGAAAAGAGCAAAACGGTGCCCACAAAGGACCAAGTAGAGGAATTTTGGGGCAAGCAGTTTGGCTCGACAGCTTATTACAACAAGTGTGCAGGATGGATTACAGATGAAGAAGCGAAGAGCCATTATTGCAATCCCATGCAGTATAGGGCATATACCAAACAAGAAATCGTGGATATCGTTAAGCAGTTGCATAATTGGAAGGCCCCGGGCCCAGACCAGATTCATGGCTACTGGATAAAGAAGCTTTGGTGCATGCATGAACAACTAACAAGATATATCAATGACATGCTTTTGAATCCAAATAAGACTCCAACGTTCCTAACACAAGGGCTAACGGTATTAATACCAAAAGATCACAATAATACAGAAGACCCAGCAAAATACCGCCCAATTACCTGCCTTCCTACGCTATACAAGGTGGTCACTGCTTGTATATCGAAGCGAATTTATGCTCATTGTGAAGAAAACGATATTATTGCGCCACAACAAAAAGGCTGTGCTAAGGGAGCTATGGGATGCAAAGAACAGCTGGCTATCGATTCAGTCATCTGTAACCAAGCCTATACCAACAAAAGGAACCTATACATTACGTACATCGACTATCAGAAGGCATACGATTCTGTACCTCATGAGTGGCTTGTCAGGGTGCTGAGGCTCTATAAGGTAGATGAGCATGTAGTGGCCCTATTAGAACATATGCTGAAGACCTGGAGAACCAGAATAACACTGCATACAAACGGGACCAGCACCATTCAAACTGAGACGATCTCTATCCGAAGAGGTCTCTTTCAGGGTGATTCATTAAGTCCCCTATGGTTTTGCCTAGCTATAAATCCCCTCTCAAACCTCTTAAATGCAACAGGGTATGGATATAGTCTGAAAGATAACAGGAACGCATCCATAAAACTGAACCACTTGCTGTATATGGACGACCTAAAGGTAATAGCTGCTACTGAGAATCAAATGAAACAGCTGCTAGAGATAGTCGGTCAGTTCTCAGATGACATAAGTATGCGATTTGGGATGGATAAATGCAAAACCTTATCTATACGTAGGGGGAACATCTACCCTGGAGGATTTTCAAGCTGCAGAGGCCAAAACATTGACGCAATGGACGCAAATGACACATACAAGTACCTTGGAATGGCGCAGGCCCGAAGGATAGACCATAAAAAAATGAAGGAAGCTATATCGCAGACCTTCACAAAAAGAATACGGCTACTTCTGAAAACAGAACTCAATAGTAAGAATCTAGTCAAGGCGATTAACACCTACGCATGCTCTGCCTTGAACTACTCGTTCGGTATAGTTCTGTGGAGTAAAACTGACATCGAGAAACTAGAGAGGCGGGTAAGGACTATGCTAACAAAAAAAGGAGCGCACCATCCTCGCAGTGCAATAGAGCGCACAACCTTACCCCGACAGTTAGGAGGAAGAGGTCTAATGGACATCAGCAAGCAGCTAGCTCAACAGGTACTCGCCTTGCGATCCTACTTCTTTGAGAAGGCCGAGATCTCTGAGCTGCATCGCATCATATGCTCAATAGATGACACAACGCCCTTACACCTTAGTAGACGAGATGACCAACCGAGTCACCAAACCAACGAACAGAAGCTACAACGATGGATTGAAAAACCTCTACATGGGAGACATGCCAACGAGATTAGCCAAGAAAACGTTGACAAGAAAGCGTCAAACTATTGGCTTACCTCAGGCCAAATGTTCCCTGAGACTGAGGGATTCCTTGTAGCTATACAGGACCAGGTCATTCCTACCAACAATTACAAGAGGTTCATACTTAAGAACTTGCAACAGTCTGATAAATGCAGGTACGGCTGTCAGGACTCCGAAACAATACAGCACGTAACTGGTGGATGCCAAGCATTCGCTCCAACGGACTATAAGGAGCGCCACGACATAGCTGCCAAAATCATTCACCAGGAGTTGGCATACAAATTCAAACTGATCGAATGCAAGCTACAGTACTACAAATATACACCGCAATGTGTCCTCGAGAACGACAAGTATAAACTATACTGGGATCGCACTGTGCTTACGGACCAATACATAAAACAAAACAGACCTGACATAATCATTGTCGACAAGGACGCCCAGAAAGTAACACTGATTGATGTGGCCATACCTAATAGTAACAATTTAACATACAAACATAATGAGAAAGTTGCAAAATACAGGGAGCTAGAATTTCAAATTAAACGCCAGTGGAAAATGAAGTACGTGGAAACAATACCAATAATAATGTCATCTACAGGGGTGATACCAAGAAGGCTGCTAGAAAACATCAAAGCGCTGGAACTGAGTGAAAACATTTACAAAATCATACAGAAAGGAGTTTTGCTGGCAACTGCCCGCATAGTAAGAAAATTTATGGGAAATGCAAGTACCTAGGGAGGTCACTATTGAGGCTTACCCCTTTGATGCTTGAAGCGTCCGGGTTAAGCCAGAACACCCCGATTAACGGGAGTAACAAAGCCCTACGGCTATAAAAAATATAATAATAATAAATAATAAATAATAAAATAATAATTAAAAAAATAAAAATAATAATATAATAATAATAATAATAATAATATAATTGATAAAATAATAATAATTTAATAATAATTATAATTAATAATAATAATAATAATAATTGATAATTGTATAATAATATATAATAATTATAATGCTAATAATATAATAATAATAATAATATAATAACAATAATTATAATAATAATCTGAGCAAGAACAGATAGAAAGTGAACAGCCTGGAGTTGACGACAGTAATGATCAAGACACAGAAATATTTGGTATATTAATAACTGAAATGGGTAGAGCATATGCCGAATTTGATGGAACGAACCCGCTAGAAAGACCACCATTACCAAAGTTGAAGTCATCTAGAAAGCTTGCTGTGGTATTGTGTCAGTTA